GTAAAGTCCTCTGGGGTTTTATTTGAATTTTTAAGTATCTTTGTGCCTTTTAAGCCGTCTTTGTGGCTTGATGACTTACAGGCTCGTTCACCTACTTTTAATCTTTCAAACTTTTTTTACGTTGTAAGTAGTCCTAGGAGTATTATTACTTTGTCGTGGTAGGTTCATTAGCGTTCGGCAATCCAGCCGGGCGCAAAGCCAAGAATCACACAGGGGGGCGGGCGGCCCACCTCGGTGGGCGATGTGCCTTGCGGTTTGCTCCTGGTACTTCTCTGATAGCTGTTGTGGCCTTCCCATATACATCTTAAATACCCCATGGCTGTTGTGGTCTGCTTCGGCAGATTTGTCGTCAGGGCGTCGTAGTTAAACACGTAAGTGATCCTGCGACCCCCCATTAAGACTGGGCTGGTTTTGTTGGGTTTTAGTGGGTATTACTGGTTTTTCTAGCCGGTAAGTCCCACATAACCATCTGTATATATACAGGTGGTACGCGTAAATGCATTTCCCAACATTAAAAAAAGGAGTATTATTACTGGATTGTAACTAGGAATTACCTATTTTATTTTATTACATAATATATTTTTTATTTATAGCGTGTCATACTTTATGTATAGTTTTTTGAAAAAATGATGCTTGTTACAATAACTCTAATTTCAAATACATTTTGTGTCGTATTTTAAATGCTATATCGAAAACGTGAAAAAATAAAATTTGAACAACATTCGCTAGCACAATACAGATAAAAACTGTTGTTATATCCCTTAGGGCGTCAGAGATAACACAGAAACCTCACTTTATTTTCAACGAACAAAGAAATATAATTCATTAAGAGAGTGGAATGTTGGGCGAAGGTCCTCAAACATTAAGGTATTAATGTCTAACTGATAAGTAGGTAGGAAATATTATGATAATCATTGAATGTAATGATAGTTATTGAATCATTACATATTCATTCATTTTATATTGACCACTATTTTTGAATCTTGTAGAGTTTTCTATAATAATGTGAACAATTTTATGAGAAATAATTAGTAAAAATAAGATAATCTGGTTAAATTATACCTATTCCTTAAAAAATCTTTTTTAAGAAACTATTTACTCTTTTTAACAAAAATCCTTTTTTTTTCTTTGCCTTCTTTAACTTTTTAAAAGCCAGTATAACAATAGCCATGTATATCATTGGATGCAATAGGCAGAAGCGGTTTTCATAAGGCGTTATTGGAAAGCTGTTTGTACGCCAGATGGCCGACCGCCAAACTCTCATATTGATTGTATAACTACTAAACTGCTTTTGGTTTTGTGTAATTGATCTACATACATACAAGATAAATCAGTTTCGTGACTTTTTAAATAAAACAGGTATAAATTATAGTAAGATCTAGAATTGCAAGTCACATTTCTCTTTCTAGATAATATGGAAACTCGTTTTGTCAAATGCAGAATAGAATTTGTCTAAGTCTAATTCGAAAGTGCTGTATACTGTCACGATATATTTGTTTAACTTATTTATCAATATAATAGAGCTTTATATTGAACTAGCGACTCACCCTCGCTCGGGTTCGTCTCTAGGTTGATTCCCTATACAAACTTTCGTCATCATTTTTTCCCCCTTAAGGGATGATTTCCGGGATAATAATATTTTACGTCCTTTCCAGGGTTTCAAATTATTTTCTTACCAAATTTCATCTAAATCGGTTCTGTAGTTTCGGAGCTTATTCGGTACAAACAAACAAATAAAAAAAATCAAATCTTTCCTCTTTATAATATTAATTAATATACATAAATAGGTACCTGTTGAAACTGATCACGAAATTCGGGCTCACTTGGCCAGTTTTTATTATTAGTTGTTTTACTTAAGGGATAAATAAAAATAGAACATAAACTAAAATTACCTAAAAATACGTTTCTTGTATAAGATGTTGTATAATAAACCATTCAGTGCAATTTTCAACTGTTTACCTATTACGGTTTAAATGAAAAAGCATTTTAAAGGTAGGACTGATGCATGGACAGATTGAGTATTTTCAGTTATTATTATATGCTATAATTGGACACAGGGTATATGAAACGCTACGTAATGTCCAAAAATAATGTTTAAAGCAAATCTCTGTAAATTTGGAGAGCTTTTTTATTATATCGGAATACCATTCCTAAGGTGAAAGTTTGTGTGTGTCTGTCCACTGTCAACATCTGTTGCACCATCACGCCGAAACGGCTGGACGCATATTGAGGTTTAGAACACTGATAGACTATGACCTTCTGTAACATTTGTTGGTAGCCTATGTTTTAGACACATACGGACGCATGCGAACGAAGCCATAATAAATCGTTAGTAAATTATAAATATGAATTCAAAACATGAAACAAATTTGTTATTTGTTAACTAACAAAATTCGCAATTAAAATTCCACATGTGTATCGTTGAAAGTTGTGTAGTAAATTAAAGGTCCTCGAGTGAGGAAAAACTTGTAACTCAACCACCAAGCGGTAACCTACTTTTTCCAGTTACTTTTACACGCCGAGTTACCGTTTAAAAGTTTTACTTTTTTTAGTAAACGCTACATTTACCGTTTTTCATTTTTGGAATAATTTGTCAATATACGTACGGTACCTTTACGTATAATTTTGTAGTTGTGCTGTGTTATTTGGTGCATATTATAAGGTCACGAGCTCAATGCTATGGTAAATGTTAATCTATACTAATATACTAATATTATAGAGGTAAAGTTTGTGAGTTTGTGAGATTGTGAGTTTGTGAGGTTGTAGGAGGTAATCTCTGGATCTACTGAACCGATTTAGATGAAATTTGGTAAGAAGATAGTTTGAGAGTTTCCAGGGGAAAGGATATCGTATGGATACTTTTTACCCTGGACATCATCACATAAGGGGGTGAAAATAGGGATGAAAGTTTATATTGGGAAGCAAGAGAGTCGCTAGTATTTTATTAAAACTCGATTTTGCCTACAGGTTCGCTAGTGTGTTACAACAGTAAATTGGACGATGTCCTTCTCGTAAACACCTCTATCTGCCAGTAAAAGATCCTGTAAAATTAGTGATTCCGTTCCAGACTTTAAGGGATAAAAACAGACACACAGTCTAACATGTTTTAATTTTATCCATAGTTTTTCACGCTAAGCCAAACCGTATGAGTTTATTATTGTGCTATTTTTAAAACACAGACATCTCAATTGTATTTATAAGCATAAAGGAAGAAAATAAGGCATTCGAAAGTGTTATCTAAACAGCATCATTCATCAACAGAATGTTAACAAAATAAATTCTCTCTGCCCACTTTATAGGCCCACTTTACTTAACATTAAATGAAAGAAAAATATATGGTCATTTTAATCATGTCTTATTTATATATAGAAAGTATTGTGTATTTCGTAAGAAAAGAAGGATGACAAAATCTAAAACTATACAATTTTAGTAATTTTCTCTATAATTTTATAGTTTTTCAAAATGGAAACTACGCAGATTTTGATGATAAATAAAAGTTAAATAAAAATAACTTTTGAATAATCAATTTTTTCTTATTGGAAATAATAATTTTCGAGTATAAAAAAACATTATAATCTATACTATATTATAGATCATTATGTGTTTTACCTCTTTATAATATTATAAAGAAGTAAAGTTTGCGGGTTTGTAAGTTTGTGACGTTGTAGAGGGTAATCTCTGGATCTACTGAACCGATTTAGATGAAATTTGGTAAAAACATAGTTTGAGACCCTGTGAAATTATCCTTTGAGGGGGTCAAAATGAGGATGAAATTTGGTATTGGGAAGCAAGCTAGGTACGAACCGAGCGAAGCGAGGGTGAGTCGATAGTATTTTAATAATTTTTCGTTGTATGTTTGTCTTCTAGCCTTGCTTTTTATCCCGAATGAAGCATCAAGCAATTATTATGTATATTATTGAAGAACGCACGCACGCCGTGACCACAGATTACTGGCGTAGGTAGATTCGTAGCGGTGTAGTTTGGTTAGGTAACTATCATTTGAATAGCGTATACGAGCCGCCTCTTGTTAGATATGAATTTTACACATCAAAGCAGTTTATAAAATGTGATCTTTCATCTAGAATCTAAACAATAGATATAGGTTTTTTTTTTTTTTTTTTTCTATTTAAAGATATAGGTTATAATAATAATAATAATAAAAACTATTGTATACCCGGAAAAAGAAAAGAAAATAAAAAAAATAGCAGGAGTACAAGAGGCGGCCTTATCGCTAAAAGAGCGATTTCTTCCAGACAATCTTATGTAGGAAATAGTACTAAGTAGGAGGGGCGCGAATAATAAATAAAGAGATAATACTCGTAGAAAGAGTATGTATTTATATATAATGTATAATGTACAAATTCTTTAGGATTTCAATTTTATTATTAATCCCTCCACGACCGCGGACACGCCGGTGTGTCAGTTAACAACAGATTTCTTAGAATACTAATTAATTTCTTAGAAATTTACCTGTAAGTGTTAAAAAGAGCGGGGTTTTTATCACTGTACTTTTGGACGTATCGTATCATCGCTGTACCAGCTTCTTAATTCATGAACATGTAAGAATAATTTAACAGGGTGGAAAAAGCTAAAAATATGAGATAATAGAGCTTACAAAATATTTTCAACGAAAATTATTTAGAAGGAGATAGGTTGAGTAGTTTTTGTGACATCAGCATTCGTTGTTTTCTGAAAACTTTCGTAATATTATAAATGCGAGAGGCGTCTTTGAACCAAAACAAAAAGAGTGTAAGTCGCTAGTTTCATCGTAAAAATACAAACAAATACTGGACAAATTATAACTACAAAAGCATTTAGGGAAGTCGATGGATCAAAAATATAAACACCGATATAATAAAACAATCTCTCCCGTGACGATGATTACTGTAAAACATTCGAAGTGTTGAAAACCAAAAATTCTCAATAAATCCGCAAAAAAATCCGAAAAGGTATATTTCTTTAAAATGTCATATATTCGGCTAAATCTAAGACAGTGTTACCTGATATATTGATCCTGTTCTCATCGTAGTAGTCGAGCACGGCGTCGTCGTCGTCCAGATCGTCGCGGGGGGTCGCGTGCGGCGCGCTCACCACCAGCGCGCAGAGCACCAGCGCGACCGCCTCCATGCCGACATCACCGCGCCGCCACCGTGGAGATAGCACTGTACATGACATATACATACATAGACTCATATAATACTTTTATTATTACATATTTTACAGATTATTATTATATAAGGATTTCACGGGCTCGTAGGAGGGGCTTTGAAAGGCTTACATGGGGAGACAGGTCTATCACGAAAGGGTCTTTATAAGATAAATATATGTAATTTGTTGTTGTTCTTATTATCTCTAAAAGTGATTTCTTTCAGTCAACCCATAAATGATGAAAAAAGTGTTATATAGTGACAAAAAGGAAGAATATATAGAATTGATTACCAATCAACCGCCAAAGTTCCAATTCCGGGCTGTTTCTGAGACTTTATTAATAGAAAAACTCTAACTAAACTTGCCCCGACTCGGGACTGGAACCCAGAACTTTCGGATCTGTATTTCATTGTTAAGTAGATTGTGCTCACTAATAAATACGCGCCATTTAAAAAGCAAGAATATTTTTAATTTGCTATGAGAAAGAGATACAATGTAAATTATCTTTATTATTAGATTTCTGTCAGCGATTTTGACTGCGATTTCTATTTAGACCACAGGAACGAAATCTAAATATTACAACATAAACCGCAAATCAGCGAGTTTATACCTACTCTATTAATATAGAAAAATCCCATTAATATTATAAATGCGAAAGTTTGGATGGATATTTGTTACAATCATGCCGGAACCGCTAAATGGATCGAAATGAGATAGATTATAGTCTGGAATAGCACATAGGTTACTTTTTATCCCGGAAAAATGTACGGTTCCCGTGGGATAAATTTGTTTTTGTTTTTCATTAGGAGGGATAAACCCGAGCAAAGCGAAAGTGGGCCGCTAGTATTTGTGGAAACCACATCTAAATCGAAAAAGCCGTTTCTGAGATTAGCGTGCACAAACGCACAACAAACAGATAAACAGAACAAAAATTCTAACAATCATTGTTTTGGGTGTTATCTGCGTTGATAAGGATCCCAATAATATTTTTTTTTCATATATCTTCCATGTACAGACAGCGATCCGTAATTTTTTTATATGTATATATAAATACCCTTTAAAATGCGGTCCTGTAAAATTGACGTTTAGAATATCAACATATTTACGTCAGCCACGAATTTATTTGTAACCTTCTAGTTTTCATACTATTTATTTGACAACGATGAAACTTTGGTGAGTTGTTTTAGGCAAAACCACAAAAGTTTTAGTGTAGCACAGAATGTACGTAATGTAGAGCGATTTGTATCGAATAATTTAAGAATTAATAATAATTTAAACACAAAGTAAAAGTCTGATTCTTCTTTTGCTGAATTATCAAAAATTTTACTACCAGTTCAACTAGAAAATGAATCAGCTTTGATATATATAAAATACAAATTGTAACTTACATTGACTTGATTCGATTGGAGGAGATCACATTATTTCCAAGGTACATTGTCTTGTAGAAAATTATTTTCTGTATCTTGTATACTACTACGAAGCTGTTTCATTTCATAATTTTTAATGTAATTTTCAGTTCAGCATGTAAATATGACTTTTGCACCTTAGAGAAAGCTTGGCGGGTCAAATTTTAGTTTATTAAATAACTTCAAATTAAATAAATAAATAATAAATATGTTGGGGACATTAACACACAGCACCATCTAGTTCCATGGTAAGCTATGAGGCCTGTGTTATGGATACCAGATAGTTGATACACTACACATATATAACTTTAAATACATACGTATTATAAATATAAACACCCATGATTGGAACACAAACATTCGTCCTCATCACACAAATGAATGTCCCCAGAATGGACTCGAACCCGCGACCGTTGGCACAACAAGTAGGGTCACTACAAACTGAGCCTAACGTGTCATCAGAGGCGATTAAAGCTAAGCTTTAAATAAATATAACACATAACATGTTACCCATGCACTAGTATGTAGTATACATAATATGTACAATATATTATATCTTATTTGTTCTTAAATTTCATCGATGTAGGGTAGTGTAGGTATCTTTTAACGTAGTGGAATAGTAACTCTGTGCTTACCTTATATTTTATTAGAGGGTGTTAGGAGGGTTAGATATTGACCGGCGTCTATAGAGGTTTGACATAGGTTTTTAGACTTTGCTATCAGAAACAAATAAATTTTGCACTAGATTAAAGTACTGAAAGAATAAGGTTCATCTTTATGTCTTGGGTAATATTTTGGATTTCAGTTATGGTCGCCAATTTTAAACAGGCTAGCCATCTGTGAAGTAAATAATACGTAACTCTCAAACTCCGGGAATACACGGCAGTAATTGGGAATTTCTTTACAGTAAAAACTAAAACCCAATAACTTATATGGTCCGACTCGGAACTCGAACCCAAGACAAAGATCTGTAGCCGTATACAGCAGTAACAAGAGTCTAAACCAACCAGACAGTATGTGTATTGTGTAGTTTCACACTAAGGTTTTTATTTGAATATTTTTTCATATGTCGGTTTTATATAACAAAAATACGGGAACTTTATTATATTCATATTTATTAATTCATTGCAAATTCATACATAAAATCATAAAAAATGGGTAATTTCGAATGCACTTGAAAGGTAATTTTAGCTCGTAGTTGTTTGAAGTACACCAATATAATAAACTTAACAAAGTAATGCACTGCAGCTGGCGTTATATCATACCGATTATAATAAGTAATTGAAATAAATTGCACGATATGACATACATATAAATTTTTACAGATTTTGGCAACTTTTCAACGTCCTCGGCGAAGTAATTTGTATCATTTTTTATGAGAATGAAAAACCGATTTTCATAATTGCCTCGTAAAATACTGTATGACATAATATGATTTTAATATTTTATAAAGCGGAAATATGCAATATTATATATAATAAATCACGAAACTACATATATTTTATACAAATGTTTTGGCATCTCAATTGATTCTTTCCGCTCAGAAAACCACTGGACAGATTTTGGTGAAATTTTGTATGACGATAGCTGGTTATCTAGGTCAACATATAGAATACTTTTTACTGTGGAGAAATATCTCAAAGAAATCTATACTAAACGTCAAAACGTAACTAGGGATGAACCCGAGCGGAGCAATAGTGAGTCGCTAGTTTATAATAAAAATAGTTTTAATTCCAATTCCAAGCTAGAACGTTAATAAAGTAAAGTTCAGTGCTGGAGAACAAGTGTTGTGCAGTTTGTGACTATAGGTTATTACGGAGAAGGCTTTAACATAATCGTTGGCTTACTATTACAAGGTTCTATGTTAATTTTAATGAAGTTTTGTTATTTTTACATAGTACTTCGTTACTTTGTTATCGTAAAAAAAAACAACTTAGAACTATGTAAAATTAAATATTTTGTAGCTATAGTGCTGCTATCTAGTGGTTTGTTTTTGCAAAACTATAGCTAATGACACATAGAACCTTGTAGCATTAATAACTAAATAAGTACTAAAATTGTAACATAGAACCTTGTAATAGTGAGCCAACGATATTATATTACATGATATAGGTATTTTTGACAGTAGTACATTAACTTGTTCATTTTTTTGATGATTAGACCGATATAAAATCGGGCAAGTGTAAATCTATTAATTTAGTTAATTGTTACGTTAAAAGTAAAACGTCTCGTAAACCTACATATATATGTATAATTGGCTTAAACAAAAAAGTTAGTTTAAAGTTTAAAGATCAATCTAGGGATTCTTATAAAGATATAAGATATAAATAAATAAATATGTTAGGACATAAACAATTAAACACACAGCTCCATCTAGTTCCATGGTAAGCTATGAAGCTTGTGTTATGGATACCAGATAGTTGATACACTACACATATATAATTTTAAATACATACATATTATAAATGTCTTCTACACGCAAAATTTTACAATCATTATATATGTATATGGAGTGAATAACCCCTATTTTTCTACTTTTCTGCAAAAATTCGTCTAGACTTCTAGAGATTATTCTTAGACCCATTATAACCAAATTTTAGTCAAATAGCGTCAATACTCTCTAAGTAAAAAGGCTATGGACATATGAACAGACGGTCATGACGAAATTAAAACGGTTCCGTTTTTACTTTTTTCCCATGGATCCCTCAAAAAGGGAATCTGACCGTAACCATAGGCTACATACTTTACTATCCTAATCCTTAGTAGTAAACATATTAAGTACTAGCGACTCACCCTCGCTTCGCTCGGGTTCGCCCCTATCTTGATTCCCCATACAAACTTTCATCCCCATTTTCAACCCCTTAAGGGATGATTTTCGAGATAAAAAGTATCCTATGTCCTTCCCAGGGTCTCAAATCGGCTCAGTAGATCCAGAGATTACCCCCTAGAACATCACAAACTCACAAACTTTACCTATAATATTATATTGAGTTAAAAAAATAGTTATAGCTTAGAATATTTTAACAGACATAATATATTTTAGTAAGTTGTTACTATTATAACAAAGTTATTTAAATATATATATATATATATATTTAAAATGTAATATGGAGGTTAAAAGACCTTTATTAAGCGAACGAAATACCGCTGGCTTTAGGGCATAGCTTCTATTAACTTAATTCGTATTCCTAAAGCAGTGTAGGGTCAGAAAAAACAATTCTTTCCCATTTGGACTGTCGAAAACATAATTTATATGGTCATACTCGTATAGATAATTCTTTTTCTATTTTGGAATGGATCCTCTAAAGAGATTTTATGGGTAAACTTTATTATACGTTATGAAACTAGGTTAGGTTTGCACATATCTTCTTATCTAATCCAATATGATAGTATTTTTATATTATACCATGTAAGCTTTAAAAAGATATTTTCAAGTCTTTAGTGTTTTCTATTTATAACAAGGAAGCATAAGCCCTTTTTAAAGTCCCACTGGGCACGGGCCTTCCTTCAATACGATGGGGATCAGGCTATAGTTCACCAGACAAAGTGGTACAGTGGCGGACAATAGCTTGATCCCCACATTGAAGGAAAGTCCGTGCATAGTCGGTGCTTAGCATAAAAAGACCCATTCACGTATAAAAAATTACATCAAAATTAAAATATTTCATTAACATTAGTAGTTGCTATTAAAATTATAATTAAATTAATTATAAACGCGACGTCAGGAAGTTGTTAGAGTTAACGTGCAAAGAAATCATTTTTACACATTGTTTTATTTTTATAGCGGCGATTGCTCGTTCAACAGGTAACAAAGCATTTTATAAAGAGTTGTTTATTTTAAACACACGTAAAAGCTAAGTATTTAGATAAAATAGTATAGAGGAGTGATATTTTACTAAGTGAATTTGTACATTATTGAATACTAGCGACTCACCCTAGCTTCGCTTGCTCGCTCGCTCGTTTTAACGGTTAGTATCGAATAGAAAGACTATATATTATATGATATATAGCCTATAGCCTTCCTCAATAAATAGGCTAGCTGATGCAAAAAAAATCTAATCGGCTTAGAAGTTCCTGAGATTAGCGCGTTAAAATAAACAAACAAATAAACAAATTCTTCCTCTTTATAACCTATACCTACACATAATAAAATTGTAACTAAGTCGAATCTGTACATTAAATATTTTTTGGAAAATCTTATTGAAATAAACATTATTATCCATACAGAGGCCGAATCTAGAGTTTTTAGAATTTTTGTCTGTCTGTCTATCCGTCCGTCCGTCCGTTTATCTATCTGTCTGTTACCGCATCACAGAAAAAACACTGGAGGAATTTTGATGAAATTTGGTATGGTGTTAGCTGGTTATCCGGGTCAACATATAGAATACTCTTTACCGCGGGAAAATATCTCATTTATGAGAAAAAATGCAAAAACTGCAATGTAAGAGTATACTAAATTGTAAAACCAAAGAATATGATTTTTGGTTATCTGAACGCGGGCGGAGCCGCGGGCTAAATATTATTATAGAATAGATTGGATTAAATTTTAAGTACATAGTATGATACATCGAAGAGTTAGTTTAGTGCGGGAGTGTAAGCGTAAAATATTTATACTTTTCATAATATTTATCTCCGTAAAGGCTGGAGAGAGCTCATGCCTAAAAGAAATTAAACGCTCTACAAGAAGCTTAGGTATACCATAACTGTCAGTCTAACTTCTGGAATATCAATATTTGTTTTGATTACTTTTAAATATGAATAATTTATTATATTTTAAATTAAATAAATTCAATCCATACAAATAAATAAAATTAAAGTGTCTGTTTGTTATGTAAAAATAACAACGTTTTACTAAATGCATATGAAATTATTTATATACGGTACTTATAAGAAATACATCATTTTTTAAATTTTTGTCTTCTTTCTGTTTATTTCGGTTAATCTCCGAAGCGGATGGACTGATTTTGACGGGACTTTCACTGGCAAATAGCTGATATTATAAGGAGTAACTTAGGGTAATTTCATTTCAGAAAAAGCATTAGGGTTCCACTAGGTTACGCAGCCGAGCAAAGCAAGGGTCAGTCGCTAGTATTAGTAGTAAGATTAAATAGCGAAGGGCAAATAACAAAGAATTTCTGTGGGTTTAGAATAGAAGTTTGTGAATTTTTAGAGACAAAATAGCTCTCAGTATCTTCTATAATAAAGGCTGCTACTTTGTTTTAGTTGTTACTAAACGAGTGATACATTGTCTATTAGTTATAACTGGAATTGGCCATTAAAGCCATTTCAAAGCAGATTTAGCCTTATTTTAGTGTCTAGATGCAACGTAACTGTGCACATTTGGTCTCAAATAATAGTTTTACGTTTTATGTACATACTTTTTTATTTTTAAACCTAGGTCTTAATAACCTACATATACATATATATATATATATATATATATATATATATGATATATATAGAATGTATACATATATATATATATATATATATATATATATATATATATATATGTATACATTCTAGAAGAATTCAAAAGTTATTAGAATGATTTCAGCATTAGTGTATTTTTTGGCTGTTCTAGCGTTTTCACAGGGCTTTGCACGCGTAGATCAATTATTAATTATAATATCTTTAAAAAATATTGCGTATGTGTTACTCTGATGTATAAGCTATACTACTGTAAAGTTTCATGAAAACCCTTAAGTTTTTGCGTTAAAGAATAACTAACATCTATCCATCAATCTTCACAAACTTTCGTGTTTATTATATAAGTAACTAAAAATCATACATAATAATTTATACGAATAAATTGACATTATTTTTTATTAAAATTTGACTTCACACAAAATGATAAAAAAATTCTGAAAAAAAAACAAGAAAAGCGCTTTTAAGCGCGATTAACCAACTACTTGGCCTACCGTAGCTTTATTATTGTATCTGGGTTTCATATATTTTAAAGACGCTCAAGCGTAATAGCTCGAGCGTTACGATAATAAAAAAGCCTATGTCACTCTCACCCCAATTCTATACTGACATTTATATTGATTTACCATTACACTGTGGAAGCCATTTTCTTTCGTTGAGTAATATGTGACCGCTGAAAATTTTGTCCAAATCTTCTAATACCGTAGTCACGTTTATATTCATTAATGGCCAAAATTAATAACATTATGGTTATAGTTACATTTTTTGATCCTGACGTTTCGAAAGCTTTAAAGTAAAGATAGTCGCGGGACTGCTATATAGTACACTGCCTCGATGGTGTAGTGGCTAGCATGTACGGCTGCACACCCGGAGGTCCTGGTTTCGCGTCCCGGGTCAGGCCAAGTTTAGTTATTGAGTCTTTCTGTATAGTAAGCCTCAGTAACAACTAACAGCTCGGAGTTGGGAAGTTGGCGGTGTTTCACCCCCGTGCCTCGGAGAGCACGTAAAGCCGTCGGTCCTGCACCTTAACTCTCACTGGTCGTGTCGAGTGGTCGTCCCACCAGAGTATAAGAGTGACAGGAATAGAGAGTACACGTTGTGTCTGCGCGTACACTTGTGCACTATAATATCTCCTGAGCAGTTGGCTAGTCTCAATGAGATTGGCCGCCGTGGCCAGAATCGGTCAAGAGAACATCATATAGTAACGTTATATACGTTTCAAATTAAAATGGATATAGTATATTATCCTTAAGAGATAGACATATATATACATACGACTTTTCTGTAGACCTATATAAGATACACCATTCCACCGTACATTATTTTGTTATATATCTCAAAGGGTTTAGGCAGCGTTTTCGTTGAAAGCTCCCAGACGGCTTATTTTTTCCGACACCTCCAACAAATATCGTTATATTTTAGCCAATGTATACAAAAACTTAATAAATTATATACTTAAACCTTCCTCGAGAACTACTCTATCCATTGGTGAAAACAGCATTAAAATCGGTGCAATAGTTTTTGTGTTTATCGCGAACAGACAGTCAGACAGACACGGCGGAGGACTTTGTTTTATAATATATAGTGATCTATCTCTCTCAAAATCTCTCCTCCCCTCCTGTTCGCGACAAGATTCGAAAAAATATTTTTATTCGACTTAATTATTTTTTTTTTACATTGCAATCTTATTTTAAAACTTAATTTCAGAAATAATTAAACGTTTGCTACTTAAAAGAAATTGGAGCGAAAAGCAAAACAAAAGGCAACTCCCACACGACTAATTACAGATTTCTAAAGAACTGCTAACGAAGCCCTAGAGTACTTTTCGATAAAATAAAGTTAAGAAGTTTTAGAATCAATTGTATAGGAATTAATCCCTTTGTAGTATATCTAAAGGGGTAACCTATAGCTTAGTAAAGACTAAGCCATAGGTTACCATAGGTTTTTAACTCCCATTTGGGTATGACATGTTCCATTTGGTTTGACGACACGTTTGGCTCAGTTTGTAGTGACCCTACTTACTGTGCCAGCGGTCGCGGGTTCGAGTCCTGTTGGGAGTATTCATTTGTGTTTTTACAAATTATTTTTATTGAACGATTATATAATACTAATACATGAGTGTAGCGGTATACAAAAACAAGTGTAATATGCCATAAATTAAACAAATTATAATTTGTGTACATTGCGTGTAAAGTTCGTTGTCATGTTACAGTCCGAACAAATTATTTTCATTGAACTTAACATTTGACCACTCCAAGTAATTGACTGTAATTTTATGTCGTAAATTTAATATTGTGCGGAATAAAAATTATTATCAAACTGCTAAATATAGATGAGGTAAAGCTTTTATTTATAAATGCCGCCTACAGTAACTTTTGTTTTGCGTTTATCTTATAATATCAATATATATAAATCAATTGCCGTTCGTTAGTTTTGCTACAACTCAAAAACGGTTCGACCGATCTAAATAATTTTTTTTTGTTTTGTTGGGAGTGTGTCAGGGTGGTTTAAATATAAAGAAAAGGGAAACCTAAAAACAGCTAAAATGTTGAAAAGTTCACATCTGTTTATTTTGTACCTACGTATATATAATATAAATTCTATCTATTCTATACTAACCGTTAAAACTTACCTAGGGATGAACCCGAGCGATACGAGGGTGAGTCGCTAGTAATAATATAAATGCTTGCGAGTAGCTTTAGCTTAGCGTTAAGGCATATCTATACATATAATAAAATTATAAATATTGAATATTTGAGCATCTATGTATTTCAAAAATGATTGATGCCAAAAGAGATGGCACTAATTTTCAATTATTCAATAGCAACTTAATATGTCAGGATAAATATATTTGACAAAATCCGTGTCAAATAATAAAACTAAACAAACAAAGATAACTTATTTTCGCGTAAATTATAATGTAAAACGGGAATGATGGCTTGTAAGGATTGAAAAAAAGTATTATTTCATATACTACAAATAAATACACAGAGGTCTTGCCTTATGGTAACTAGTCGCTTTCGCCTATTTACGCGTGTATCAACAAAGGCAATACTTATACTTTTAACTTACCTTTTACCTTTAATTACCTTTACTGGAGGTAAAAGTAAAAGGTAAGTTAAAAGTTTACCTGGGAGGCTTTACTTTATAAAACTGATTTTTCTCTATCGTAGGAAGGAATGAAATCGCTAAAGTGCGTTAGTATTTGATTTGTATAACTCAACAACTTTTTCCATTTGTGTCACGCTAAGTAAGCAATCATTAAATGCCGCGGTAGTTCGTTAGCGACTGAACCAGTTAAAAATTTTGCTCGTAGCCCGCACATACATATGTTATCACCGCGAACCGTAATACACCAATTTGTTTGGCATCTTATGTAGAACTTAAAACTAAAATGGTTTTTTTTACTATTATCTTTGTTTATTTTAAATTGAAAGCTATATACTATGAAGATAAAAATAGCTAGCAGGGCACAACAAGAAATTAGAAAAAAATAATTACGTTGAGGCAAATCCGTTGTTTATTTGTTTCAACCAGAAATAAGTGATTTTCTATTTTAAGAACAAATCTTTATCTTTAAGATTTATATGTATTTAAAAGACAATAAGTCTGTATAAAAAGTTTTAAATGTAAATTGGTTGTTCTGGCACTGAAGATTGTTTCTTAAAAAGCATACTGGCAACATATATATACTACTAGCAGAACCCGCGGCTTCGCTCGCGCTAAAACTACAACAAAAAAACTGAAGATATGTGTCATACAAACTTTCATCCCCTATTTTACCCCCTTATGGGATGAATTTCAAAAATTGCTAAATACGTATTTATTTAATTGTATTGAAGAGTATTAATACCAAGTTTCAAGTAATCTGACTATAAATATTTTTTGTGATGTATTATAACGTATTTCCCATAGGAATGAGATAATCTGACCCGCACTAAAAAGTAGCCTATGTCACTCTCATCCAACTATCACCACACAAAAAAATCACGCTAATCTGTTACTCCGTTCTGACGTGAAAGAAGGACAAACATACAAACAAACACACTTTCACATTTATAATATTAGTATGGATATGCATACATACATATAGTCTATTTATAATGTAATGTAATATTCGATATATATCTTATTTAAATTAATAAACAAAAATTGAAAACTGAAAAAAAATTAGTATCTCAAAATCATTCATTAGCAAAGCAAATTGGAAAAGAATATCTGCAGATGAAATCGCGAACGGTATGATTCTGCTGTCTTATATTGCCAATATTATGTCGAGTACAAAAGGAAACTTTGAAACCGCGATTTTATAGCTCGTACAATGTACATTTATCTCATCCCGAAGATCTAACCAGATAAAGTTCGACGTTGAAAATTATCCTCAAATAGCATATTTCAACTTTAAACTTATGCATCGGACTACTATTATAATGATGAAACTTTATAGGTGTGTGTTTGTTTGTTACTATATGACGACTGTGCCAGCGGTCCCGGGTTTGAGTCCCGCTGGGGGCATTCATTTGTGTGATGAGCATGAACATTTGTACTCCAGTCATGGATGTTTATCTATACTATAATAAAACAATGTTTATCTATACTATAATAAATACAGGTCGAATGTTTGTACATAGCAAAAAAATAAATCAGTCCAATAGATTCGGAGATTAGCCCGTACAAACAGAAAAACAGACAGAGAAACAAAAAAAAAGAAAAAAAATCTGGATTTGTTCTATTTGTCTTCTTACATCACCCTGACTCGGTGTTTAGCATTTTTGTTCTATGTACAGACATTCGACCTCTACAGTTTTATTATAGTATAGATAGGTTTGAAGTGAGCTTTAGATGTTCACACACAGCAGAATCTATGGATGCCTTCAGTGGACAAGGAGTTCTATGAGGCAATATTCAAAATGTAAACCATTTTTTATGATAATAAATTTCGCATATGTACAAGTAATATTTTTTAGTGGTACTGAGACATGATAACATATATAACAGTTCAGATGACTTAAGAAAATTAATACTTAACTTGGACATAAACGAATATCTTTTACTTATTTCAATGAAACAAAATCCTAAGTTCTGGTTAAAATAAATAAAAATATTTTTTTGGTATCACAAAGTTCTATGTTATTTTAGTTTCGATAATATTGCTTAATATCCATGTCAATATCCAATTGTTAGTTCCTAGAAAGCATCACGTAGCCCTTAATTATGCTAATAAACTATCACTTAGGGATTAGGACTAATAAGTATACATTTTTCGAAAGTCAAAATTTTTAAAGTCAAATTACTAAACTTCATTAAAATTAACATAGAATCTTGTTATAGTGACCCAACGATATGTCTATCTCTTAAGGATAACATACTATATACATTTTAATTTAAAACGTACCTAGGGACGAACCCGGATGAAGAGAGGGTGAGTCGCTAGTTATTCTATATGTAAAAGCGAGGAACATACAAAGTAGTTATAGAACGAAGCTTTACAAGGTATCGGTAATCGTATTAACTGAAATAGTGGTTAATACTCATCGATATAATGCCTTGATTGGTGATAGCAATTGAATTAAAAATAATCTTTATATCGCTACTTATACAATAGATACGAAAATATTCTGGTTAGGTTGCCCTTTTTACGTAGAAATAGAATGACGTAATTTTTGCATGCATAGATATTGTGTATAGTAATTTTAGATGACTTATCTATACAATTTTTTTTT